TACTTCTCACTGGGGCTCCCATCCCATCCGCCTTCTCACCAGCTCACCAGGGCTCTGCAGGTACCGGGGGCAGCTCAGATGGGGATCTCTCGGTGATGCTACAGCCGTGTCCTGCTGCCCTCCCGGGGAGCTCTGGCAGCAGCACCCAGTGGGCAGTGCCCGATGCCTGTGGCACAGAGCAGCGGCGTCTGCCAGCAGCTGCAGCGGGGCACAACGTCCCCAGCTGTCTGCCGTCTGCCTTGGGAGCCAAAGAGCATATTCGGAGGCAGCGAGAGCGTGCACTTGTTGTTTTAGTTGGTGTTTGGGCTGGCAGGGCTGCCGTCGGAGCGGCAAAGAGAGGGATGGCTGGCAGCCTGTGCTTTCCTTCTGCCCCGTGCCTGGCTGGATGGGACTCAGGGTCCTTCAGCACCTGACCTCCATGAGCAAGGCTTGCTGACAAAGTCTGTCTTCAAGGTGCTGACCTGCTGCTGCTCCCTGTCCTGCCTTCCCAGGCAGCTGGCCCAAACTCTGCCAGCACTGGCAAGAGGTGGGAGCAAACCAGTGAGCTCCGAGGAGTAGTTTACTGGTCTAGGGATGCTTAATGCATCCAGAATCTGGCAGACCCCATGTTTTTATGGTTTTATACCGTGGTTGTTGGCTTTGCTTCGCCCTTTGGCAAGGGGAAAGCTCTGCAGCCTCCCCTTCCGGGTCCTGTGCTGCTCAGGCTGATGCACTGCCCATGCACAGTGCACAGCAGTGGCTGAAGACCCCACAGCCTTCCAGGAGTGTCCTCTGACTGCAGCCACCCTGTGCTGGCGCGGCATCTGGTCTCACTTCACGTCCCTGAGCCTGGCTCCTCGGTTCCTTGGCTGCGTGGGGAGTGCGTCCACGTTTCTGGAGATGCAGCCGCACAGGGAGGATCCGTGTCCTCATCAGCAAGGCCAGTGGTGGCTGTGCAGCTGGTGTGGCAGGATTGCAGCCTCTTGAACATCTCAGGGTGGGGTTACAGGCACGCAGGCCCAGACTGCTGCCTATGGGGCTAATGCACTGGGCTTGCTGTTGGTCACCTAGCTGACAGTAACTCCACTCTGCCTTTCCTGCCAGCAAGGGCACCCTGCTGCTTTACCGGCAGTTTCCAGCTCAGCCCCCAAGGTTGTCCCGTAACCCAGAGCTGAAGTAAACAAGTGGAAGTTCATAGGTTTGGACAAAGTCTTCCCCCCACCCAGTGTGTGCCCCTTGCTGTGCATGAGAGCAGAGAAAGACCTGGAAAATCCATCTGCTAGGTGGAGTGGTCCCTTCTCTCTGTGGCAGTTGTCCCCAGCGAGGCATTTCGGAGGGGGCGGTGGTTGCTCTGCAAGCTGGCATGACCACGGCCTGCGAGGCCGGGGAGGTGCGGCCGGAGCGCCCTGCACTGGGCCAGCAAGGGAAGTCCTGGTGGAAGCAGGGGTTTTTATCTGGGCTGCCTGGGCCCAGCATTTCAATGCTTGGAAATGCTCTTGTCCAGATGTTTCCTAGCACACGCCGGCTCTGTTTATAAACAGCTCCTCAAAGCAAAGCCCGTCGGGGCTGCGGGCGGGTGTTGGTGGCAGCAGCCCCGCACGGCTCCCCCGCACCACGCTTTGGGGTCAGAGGCCCGGGGAAAAACCTTCCCATCCAGAGGGTTCGGGCAGTTAACAAAAGCCTGGAATGCCTCCTCTTCCTCTCTCCTCCTCTCCTCCCTGGCAGCAGCTTCCTGCCCCGTTGCATCTCGGCACAGCCGGTATCTCGGCACCTCCGGGCTGCCTTCCTGCCCCGCCTCTGGCTGCCAGGGGACGTGGAGAAGGGCACCATGGAGCTGGGGCTGGTGGCACCCTGCCCTGCTGGAGCTGCCTGTTCCGGGGGAGATCACGGCTGCTCGGGGGGCTTGGGGCAGGGAGACGTTTCCATTGCATCTAGTTGGGGTTTGGTTCCTCAGTGGTTGTTGGGGGGGGACCTGCACCCCCAGCACCCCTCCCTGCATCCTGGCAGCATGCTCCTCAAGCACCTGGGATTTTCCTCCGTGTTTTTCCAAAACTTGAGGTGACTATGTCAGGCAGGACAGAGCAGCTGTTTGGCTGGTTGCTGTGCTTCCCCAGCCCCATCTCTTCCAAAGAAAATAATGCTTTCATGCCCACCACTCCTCCCACTTCCCGCCAGGCAGAGGTGCCTTTCAGCCACGCTTGTCTCTGTCCTGGCCCCTACAGAAGGACAGCACCAAACCCCTCTGTTGGAAGGACAAAAGCCAAGCAAAATCCAGGCTAAACACATGCTGCTGGCAGCCCTGCCAGAATACCTTTCCCTCGACTGGCCCAAGCTCAGCCCTGGAAAGGCTGCGGGGCTGTGAGCAGGTTCCCGAGCTGTCGGTGTGGTGGAGCTGCCCGCAGCTTGTTGCATCCTGGATCTCACCCCAGCATCACTCCCCAAGGATGTCCCTGTCCTCCCCACTGCCCCAGGTCCCCTGTGTGGCCGGGGAGGATGGCCTGAACAGTCACTGCTTGTCAGTCTGTCTCCCCTCCCTGCAGAAAGGGGCACGTGGCTCCCTTCTCATTACCAGCTGTCCCCAAGTAATCTGCTGGGCAACAATTGAGTCGTTTGACACAGCTCTGCTTTCGCCCCTGGCGATGGACTGCCTGAGCTTGGGCACTTGCTTTTTTCCTATTGTAGCTGCTTGCAGGGGCTGTAATCTTGCCCCTTACCTTGGGCACCCTGTTTGTGGAGGCGAGAACTTGAAAGGAGTTGGCTCCACTGCTCTGGAGCTGGAAAGGAGCCACCCTCCATGGCACTGCTCCACCTCTCCCTCCTGCCAGCTTCCAGCATCATTTTTTTGGACACAGGAATGGCTTTCCTGGCACTGCTAGGGAGACCCAGAGAGAGAAAAGTATGCAGAGGTGAGACTGAGCAAGTCTCTGCTCAGACCCCATGGACCTGAGCACTTTGGGAGGCTGATCGGTGCAAGGCTGGGTCTTGTCTGTGCACGCTGAACTTCCCCCTCATGCTGCACTGGATAGCGCTTTGCCTTCCTCATGAGCATCCACGAGTTGTCTTTGCAGTGGCCTGGTGCCTGTCCCCAAGCCATAACTGTTCTTTGGAGAGGCAGAGCTCTTTTGTCCATTCCTTGCCCTTTAGATCGAAGGAGTGCTGCTGCCCGTTGGCACCGATGAGGCAGCCAGTCTTCCGCTCCCCTTCCCCCCAGAGGCGTGGAGATGGCTGCTCAGAACCAGCCCCCTTTCCATGGAAACCTGCAAAAACCCTTTCCTGGCTAAAGGGAGCTGTGTAAAGGCCCTTAATGAAATGGGAAATATCAGGGGGTTGAGTCTAAAGCTGTAAGGAAGTGATACTCTGTGATGGTTGTGGTTGTCTGGATCAGGAGATAAAAAAACCTGCTCACGGTTGACATAATTGATAGATTCACATTTTCTGCTGTAGTAATTCTGCTGGTGGCTGTTGAATCCTGGCTCTTGCAGTGCTGTGCTAGGGATCCAGAGGACAGGCCAGCAGGATGGATTTAATAGTCTGATCTCTGTACAAGCTGTAGGATTCCCTGAGCCAGTGTTTGTTGGAGCTGAGCACAGCTTCTTACAAGAAAAATTTCAATTTAAATGTTTGCAGTAGGGGAGTACCCACTGTTACTCTGGAGCTGTCCCAGGGGCTAATGGCCCTACATCTGAATTAGCCCAGCTTCAGCTTCCAAGCATGGCACCACTTCAGACCTTTGGGTGCTAAATCCACACCATCTATCAACAGATTCTTGTTTCCTGGAAATGCATTGAGACTTTAGTCAGTGTCTTGACAGATTTGGAGAGGAACCAACAGCAGGCTGGGCTTATTCTGACAGTTTCTCCCTGACATCTTCATAGCAAGGTGCAAAAAAAAACCCTAAACCTGCTGTAGCTTTACCTGAAGTGTTAGGATTGGAAGGAGAGCGCAGTGCTGGCAGCTCTGGGCTGTCAGACAGGGGGTGGGGGCCACAGGTCCCTCCTGTCCTCCTCCGAACCACAGGCTCAGCCAGCTCTCCGGTGCCCACCTTTGTAGCATAGGCTGCTGCTTGAGGACAGAAGACTCTCAGTATGAATGGGAGCAGTTTGGAGGGGGGGCAAATCCAACTCCAGCTGCTTGGGTAATAGCATGGGATGGATTCAGTTCCTGCAGGTGGGAGCAGAGGTGTGTGGATGGTAGGGTGTGCTCACTGCCCTACGGCCGAGGAAGGAGCCAAAGACAGTTTTGGGCTGCTTGCTACATAGTCCAAATTTTTCTCATTTGAATCACGCTCTGGAGTTAGCGTTGTGTATTGCTAGACTTGCACCTCTCTTCTCCTTGGTAGCTGGAAATTAGCTGGTGAAGACTGCATCTGCCAGAGCTGCTACTGCTGAGCCTTCCTAAGGGCTGGAAATGCTGATGGCAGTGCTTCTTCAACTAATGAGATGTTGCCACTGCATTTCTTCTTCAATTTTTATTCTGAAGAAATATTTCTGCCACTCGGATGTATTTCAAACCTTCTTTTTGCACATCCTCAAACTGAGGCCCATCTTTGATCCAGAGTTTCCTCATGATCAAATAATAATGATGATGATGACAGGAGCTTTGCTGAGATCAAGGACATTTTCCTGGCGTGTACCAGCCATAGTGACACTTGTGGTGGTTCCCTAGGCACTGGGGATGTGGTTCCATCTGCCTGCACAGCCATGTGAGCAGTCACACGTTCCTGTGGTTGGCTCACCAGAGCGATGCTGGTAGGAACAACAGCAGCTTTAGGAGAGAGCAAGAAGCGAGGTTTGAAGTCTGGGCAATATCCTGTGCAGGGGGATGACAGGGGATGCAGCTTGTGAAGCATTGAGCTGCTCTGGGAGCCTGAGTGCCTCCAGCCAGCAGAAGATAAGTGCTGCGAGATCCCTAGAGTGGGTGGTAGATCCTGTGCTGTGATCCAGACCTGCCCAGACTTGATGTGGCTGCTCTTCGGGCTGTGCTTCCTGACTCCTCTGTTCCTGTTTTTCCTCTCTTTGCAGGCACACGTTCTGGCAGTATCGCCGTGAGAACCCCCAAACCAAAGTGGGGGATCCCCCTCCTGATGGGCTGCCTGGCTTCAACAGTGGTGTCCTGCTCCTGAACCTGGAAGCCATGAGGCAGTCCAAGCTCTACAACCAGCTGCTGGAGCCCACCATGGTGGAGAAGCTGACAGAGAAGTACCACTTCAAGGGCCACCTCGGGGACCAGGATTTCTTCACCATGGTGGGGATGGAGCACCCAGAGCTCTTCCATGTGCTTGACTGCACGTGGAACCGGCAGCTTTGCACATGGTGGAGGGACCATGGATACAGTGATGTGTTTGACCAGTACTTCCAGTGCAAGGGTGAGGTCAAAATTTACCATGGGAACTGCAACACACCAATCCCTGAAGACTAGGGCAGCCACTGCCCCCAGGAGCAGCTCTGACTGCAGCAAGCCCTGTGCCTACACCAGCACTCCCTGGGGAAGGGTGGCCAGCCCTGATCCATTGGATCCCAGGGAGACCTCTGGGGATCCCAGGAGTGTTCAGTGTCCCGCTGCCTGCAGCCTCACACCTGCAGGAGGAAGCGCAGTCCGGCAGTCGGAGCAGGACACCCATGGCCATCGTGCCCGGGCTCAGCTCCTGGGGCGAGCCCATGGTGCTGTGCCACGCTCACTAGGGTGTGGGGACGGCCGAGGGGCCAGCAGGTGACTGCTGCCCCTGTGCGTGGCAGGGTCTTGCCTTGTCCAGCGATCAGCAGGAGTCCACAGCCAGGCAGCTGGGTTTCGTTTTGGCATTCCTCAGTGGCCCTTTTCTGCAGCTCATGCAGAGCATCTGTCTGGTCCCTCTGGAGAGCAGACACCGTCCTCAGGTCATCTTCCTTTTGAAGCATTCCAGAAAGGCAAGAGGGTTTTAAAGACTGAAAAGCTGCTTTAAATTGGGTTACTTACAAACAAAAATTGAATGCTAGATGAGCTTTAAAGCCTTCCGTTGGTTCTTATTAGCAATAAAAGCTTTACTGGCCTGTATTGTCTTAGAAGCATTCAGTGAGTGTGTACCAATAGGTTCATTTTTCTAGCTTTGCCTTTAACCTTTTGTACAAGAATAAAGCTGCAGATGTAAAACACGCTCGACTGTTTTCCTGTGGCACAGCTGAAGGCCTGGGTGATAGGAGGCTTCGTGCTCCATTATCACGATTAAAAAGTAGTTGATGTGTATCTGCTGAGCAGCTGAATGTGGTGCCCCACATACCTTATCACTGTGGTTACCCCAGGGGTGTCCTGAGCGAGTGATGCAAATAAAGGAGCCTGCACACAAAGGGGATTTTAAAAAAATCTCCTCGGCGCAGCCAGGGGTGGTTTGGAAGGAGCTGGGAGCTGCCGGCGCAGTCAGGGAGCAGGTGTCGGGGGTGAGCACCCTGCTCCCTGCATACACCCCAGGTGCCAGGGCTGGGCAGGTCTCCCCGGGGGGGTGCTCTGTGCAGTAACCCACTCCCAGCCCTGCCGCCTCCACACCGGGCAGGGCGGGCACCAGAAAGGGATCGAGGCCTAACAGCGGCTTAACCCAGGAGCGGCCTGCGCGGCGTGCGCCAGGAGTTCCCTGGGCTCCTTCCCCCGTGCCCGTGAGCGAAGGGCCGGCCGCCGTGCGGGCTCCAGCCCTACCCTGCCCCCTTCCCTTTGCTGAACCCATCCGTTTCCAATCGCACAGAGGCTCGACCTGAAGTATTTTCACATCCCCAGGGAGGGAAGGGCTGGAGGCTGAAGCGGGGCGGGATTGGGGCGGGTGATGCATGGTGACAAAGCACCCGGCAGGGTTTGCAGTGGGGAGGGTTGCAGGCCCTGGGCTGGCTGGAGCTGCTGCCGTGCCCAGAGAACACGTGCCGTCCTGGCGACTCCAGGCAGAGGCTTTGCTCTGTTGGTGCCCACTCTCATTTATGTGTGAGCTGGGTGGGGACATCCCTGCATTGCATGGCCTCAGGAGCCACCCACCTCACCCGTGCCATGCTGTTTTCCTGGGCTTGCTGGGTGAAACAGAGAGAGGGCATGGCTTCCTAGGGGTGCAGTGTCACAGTCCTGTGGTTGCCATTGGCTCTCTGTCACCAACCTGGTGTGTCCCGGGGTGCCTGTGATTGCCACAAGCAGCTCCTGGGGCTGTCCCATGTGCACAGCCCCTGCCATGGCTGGGGGGCTGCTGCAAGGACTCAGCCCTGCACTCACCAGTCAGGGCACGCTGGTGGCACCAGTGACACAGAGGGGTCTGGCGTGCTGGGGCAGGACCTTGCCATGGGTTTGGAAATGGACGTGCTGGAAATACAGGACAGGCAGCTCATGTCACCAGCCCTGGGGAGTGGTGGGGCAATCAATTGTGGCTTTTTCATGGGGCTGAGCAGCTCCAGAGTGGCTCTGGGTGTTGGCACTGCCCCAAAAGCACCATGATGGGTTTGGGATGGCATTGCCACAGGGTGACACCGGGGCTGCTGGCCTTGAGAGCCAGGGCAGTGTGGGGCTGGGTACCCCAGTGCCCTGCAGCTGCCCCTGGAGCTGGGCCAAGCACCGGGCACCTTCCACCTGCGGCCAGGGGATGATTCCCTCTCAGGGCTGGGAGCACCTTTCCCTCTCTGTGGGGCTGCAGGGGCTGCAAGGGGGGTGCACTTTCCTGCGGCCACCCTCACCCTAAGCTGAAAACTTTTGTTTAGTTGTTTAAAAAATACGTATATGCTGGGGTTTTTTTTTGTTTGTTCAAAACGGCAATCCAGGGTAAAAGCTGCTCAGGAAGCACTAACAGCGCTCCTTTGCCACTGGGCACCGAGGGCTTGCTGTGGTGACCCTGCGGCAGCAACGCTGGGGCTGATGGGCAGCTCCTGGTGCCTGGGGGCTGGCACTGTGTCCTTGGGCCAGCACTGGTCCCCTGCCCAGCAGAGAGGATCTGCAGACTCCAGAGCCCAGTTTTGGACTAGTTGGGGCCCCTCTGGAGATGGGGCAAGAGAAAGGCAGCCCTTGGCAAGTGGCGGGTGGGGACGTGCTGCTGTGGCACACAGTGCTAGGGGGTGGGACAGCTGCAGGGAGCAGGGGACTGGCTTTGCCAGCACAGGCTGGCTGCAGGGCGTGGGGCTGTGCCCTGCAGGCAGTGGGCATTGCACACATGGGAGAGCTGCAGTGGCCCTGGCCAGTGCCTGTGGAAGGGAGTGGCGGGATTTACACCAAGGTTGCCCACCCCAGAGCTGCTCTGTGGTGCCTGTGGGTTGCCTGCTCTTTGTCCTCTCGCTTGCTTGCTCACAGGAAAGTGCTGCAGGTGCAGAGAGCCCCGTGGTTTTCCAGGACCGAGAGGGAGACAGGAGAGCAGGGGTGTCTCCTTGAACTCTGTAGAACACCAGGCTCTGGAATGTAGCTCTGTAGCTTGAGCTTTAGGAGAAATTTCAATTTCTTCTCTTGTATCATTCAGCATTCATGAGAAATTGCACGTAGAGCAAACAGTATCTCCTATTTTTCTGGCCAGCTTTGCTTTCAGCACCGTGCTTGAGCTGTGTGGGATTTTTGCTCTCCTCTCCTGCGTTTCGTAACGCTGTCAGTGTTTATTCTCTTACTCATTTGTACTTCTTTCCCATTTGAAACGATCAATTGTCGGTACAAACTCACCTAGGGAGCAATTACTGTAAGCCTAACCCAAACAGGCGCTGGGGTGCTCCATTAAGCAATAAAACCACCCTCCCCTCTCCGCTGCTCCCAGAGGATACAATATTTACTTTTCAGCTCTCTGCTATTCATACCAAGCGCACTTCGGTCAGTGTGCCAAGAATAACACAAACTGTAACAACAGGCTTAAGGGCTAAGATGGAGTTCCTGACTTGCAAAATAACAAAACAGTAAAAAAAAAAAAGAGCAAATCTATTCTTTTGCCTTTTCTAAGAAATGCCTGGCTGCAGCTGAGCAAGTGGGCACCCGAACCACCCCTCTGCCTGCAGCAGAGCTCTGGGCAGCATGAAATCTACCCCCAGTGAGCACAGAAAGAGAGAAAAACCAGCAGTAAGCCTGGCACACAGATTGACAACTGCCTGTTTTTTTCCTTTTAATGCACATTTTTATTAGGTTGCAGCATTGTTTTGTGAGCTTTGCCTCAAAAGTTTTGCAGAACCACGGGGAGACATGGTCCCTAGCACCTTGTTTGTGAATATTTCAGCCAGGGTTTTAGTAGCTCCATCTCTGACTGTCATGAGTCTCTGTGGCTTTAATTGCTAATTGCAAAGAAATTGCTGCCTGGTCCTGTTAGACTTTTCAGTGCCATCAGGGTTCAGTTTGTGCAGTTCCCCTCTGGAAATTACTTATTCGCTAACCAGTTCCTGTGGGGGAACACTTGGGGCAAATTGCCTTAGTGAGGTATTTCACGGGCATTAGCTGAGCTGTGTTGTACCTAAGTCATGGGCATTAGCTGAGCTGTATTGTACCTAAGTCTCAACATTAATTTAGGCAATTTGCCTGTTGGAAGAGAAGGCTGAAACAAAGCATAGTCTGGAGCTGCCAGAATTAGCGTGGGTTTGTCCTTGGCAGGAGGCCTTGGCATTGCCCACCTGAGGAAGGAGATGCTCAGCAGTCTGAGAGCCAGATGTGTTTTTCTTGGGGCAGATGTTGCTCACAGGTATGAAGCTATGCCCTTGGGCTCCACCTCTCCTCCACAGAGACAGGCACCTTCAAGCTCTTTCTCCCAGCTCGGTCCATATAGACTTGGCACCTTACAGTCCTGGCAGGGCTCTTGTCCCCAGCGCCAGCTTCTCCTCCCATTTAGCAGCAATTTGTGACCCTGCTGGTGACAATCCTAAAGCCATGGGGGTAAAGGGCTGCACAGGACCTTGTTCACAGAAGGCACCACATGAAGTGTCTCCATTTATCACCTACAGACCACTCACTCTTGGTACATTTTGCAGCTATTGAAAGGTTTGGGGCCTTTGTCATAACACATCCCCTCCTCAGAGCTGGTCAGAATAAACAGACCCTTTTAAGTACAAAGGACATTCTCAGTTTAGGGAACAAAATGCAGATGCCCTCTGGCTCATGGGGCTCTAGGTAGTGTGTCAGAAAGAAAAGATGGTTTGTTTGTTTGTTTGTTTTTTTCTGCATGCTTTTTACTTTCAGACTCATCTTGTTTCTATGCTGATTTATCTTGGCTACCTGGGAAGACAGAAAAAATGTACCTTTCCAGCAAGATCTGCCAAGCTCGAGAGAGAGGGATGTTTTATACAGTGCTCACAAATGCCAGCAGAAGTAGAGAAAAAATGAATAGGTGTGTGAGATCGAGCCCCTCAGCCATGGAACAGAGGCATGGAGAGCTGGCCAGGTAAAGGATGCTCAGCTGAACCAACAGGCACTATGGTCCTGAAGCAAAGCCAGTCAAAAACCATTCTGCAGAAAATGGGGGATAATGGTGGCACAGCAGAACCTGCCACTGGGTCAGAGAGCACCCC